TTCACAGGAATTCTAAGAAGTGTTTGACTTGCAACAATGATCGAACCCATCTGTGACATTCATCAATGTTTCCCATTGTTGTGTTTTTCAAGTGATCCATAACCTTTAAGGACCTTTTTGCATTATTATTTTTGTATCAACCCATGTATATCTTGTAACCATCAAATGCATAATAAAGCACAAAAAATAAAAAAGGAAGGGGGTGGTAGGAGAAAAGCACACAGAAATTGTATTGGAGGGGATCTCAACATTCCCTCTAATGCGTTATGCGTGGTTTCCTCCGAGGCTATGGGTCCCCCTTCTTCCAGCTAGAGGTGGTACTCCCTTCCATATATTATATATATATATATATATATATATATATATATATATATATATATATATATATATATATATATATATATATATATATATATATATATATATATATATATATATATATATATATATATATATATATATATATATATACATATATATATAATTATTTATTTATTATTTTGTTTATATATGAATATAATTTTAAAAACTATTTTTTCCCCTAGAATAACGGCGGTGAAGGAGGCTGGGTTGTACTTCCAGTGGGTAAAAGCAGATGAACCAAACTCCACTGTTTGTTATCACGCCCCGAACAAGATCACTGTCAAGACTGCTCTTTCTATCAGTAATGTTTGGGTAATGAATCTTTTTAATATTTTAAAAATGCATGTTGAAATCATTTGATATTGAATATACAATACAAAAATTATGCGCAATTGATTGATTTAATTTCATATTTTCAGGGGATGATCGTCATTCTCATTATGGGAAATCTTGTCAGTTTTCTGGCGTTTTGTATTGAGCTTATTTTCTCCTGTCTTCACAACACGACATGAGTCTCGACATGTATATCCGTCATGACATTAACTGGATATATGCTGATAGTTTGACTTCCTTAAAGCCTCGTCTGTGTTCTTCTTCTGGCCACTGGATTATTCTCCATCTCAATATGTCACAAGTCATGACCTAACCTAAAGCCATGTTTTCTACATTCATTCATGTTTATGTATTTGAATTAATATATATTACTTGTGTGCTCACCAGTGCACTCACTTAATAATTACGTTTATCCCACTAATTGTGAAATATACCTTTAAGGTAATTTACGTTCATGCTTTGGTCTCTGTGTCTTCAATATCACCTTGACAATAAAACTTACAATCTTTTAATTATTTTATCAACATTTCATCGCTACTTTTTCAATTGCTGTTACAATTGTCTCCCTGCAAATAATCACCTAGATCACTATAATCTAAAAGTTCGTGAGGGTGACATCCCCTACTGCATTAGTTATGGTTGATATCCCGCTGTTGGAATAACGGAAGCAAATGTCTTGCATTGAACTACCGTCCGATTAGGCTAACGTTGTGCGTAAGGAAGTATCTTATCACTCCCCCATCCCTTCGTCCACCCTACCATTTCCCCCCTCCCCCATCCCCTCGTCCTCCCTACCATCTCGCACTCCCCTATCCTCTAGTCCTCCCCACCATTCCCCATTCCCCTGTCCCTTCGTCCCCTCGTCCTCCCCTCCCCAACTCCCCAGTCTTCTCGTCCTCCCAACCCTTACCCCCTACCTTACCTGGTTGATACCTGGTTGATGTGGTTCTGGGAGTTCTTCTACTCCCAAGCCCGGCCCGAGGCCAGGCTAGACTTGTGAGAGTTTGGTCCACCAGGCTGTTGCTTGAAGCGGCCCACAGGCCCACATACCCACCACAGCCCGGTTGGTCCGGAACGTCTTTTAGAAAACAGTCTAGTTTCCTTTTAAAGATGTCCACGGTTGTTCCGGCAATATTTCTGATGCTCGCTGGGAGGACGGTGAACAGCCGCGGGCCTCTGATATTTATACAGTGTTCTCTGATTGTGATTATGGCACCTCTGCTCTTCACTGGTTCTATTCTGCATTTTCTTCCATATCGTTCACTCCAGTACGTTGTTATTTTACTGTGTAGATTAGGGACCTGGCCTTCCAGTATTTTCCATGTGTATATTATTTGGTATCTCTCTCGTTTCCTTTCTAGTGAGTACATTTGGAGAGCTTTGAGACGATCCCAATAATTTAGGTGCTTTATCGCGTCTATGCGTGCCGTATATGTTCTCTGTAGTAGTAGTAGTAGGCATCCATCAGTCTCACGAGACTATGGAGTTGCGATCTGGTTGTATTCCCTCAATTTCAGCAATCTCTCTTGCTCTGAAGGGGAAAGTGAGTACTGAGCAGTACTCGAGACGGGACAGCACCAGTGAATTGAAGAGTACAACCATCGTGATGGGATTCCTGGATTTGAAAGTTCTCCTAATCCATCCTATCATTTTTCTGGCTGACACAATATTTGCTTGATTATGCTCCCTAAACATTAGATCGTCGAACATCATTATTCCCAAATCCTTGACATGCTGTTTGCCTATTATGGGCAGATTCGATTGTGTTTTGTACCCTGTATTATGTTTCAGGTCCTCATTTTTACCGTACCTGAGTACCTGGAATTTATCGCTGATAAACATCATGTTATTTTCTGCTGCCCAATCGAAAACTTTGTTGATATCTGCTTCTGCTTGTAATTTTTCCATGTCTTCAGCAGAGGTAATTTTCATGCTGATTTTTGTGTCATCTGCAAAGGATGACACGAAGCTTTGACTTTTAGTTTTATCTATATCTGATATGAGAATAAGGAACAGCAGTGGTGCAAGGACTGTACCTTGAGGTGCAGAGTTTTTAACTGCGCTCGGACTTGATTTTATTTGATTGACTGTTACTCTTTGTGTTCTGTTCAACAGGAAATTGAGTATCCAGCATCCTACTTTACCAGCTATTCCCATTGACCACATTTTGTGTGCAATCACTCCATGGTCACATTTTTCGAACGCTTTTGCAAAGTCTGTGTATACTACATCTGCATTTTGCTTTTCTTCTAGACCTGTGATTTTGTGATAGTGATTGCGTAACTGTGACAGACAGGATCTTCCCGCTCTAAATCCATGTTGTCCTGGGTTGTGTAACTCATTATTTTCCATAAAGCTAGAAATGTGATTCCTAATCATTCTTTCAAAAACTTTTATTATGGGGATATGGGGATGGGGACTTTTATTATGGGATATTATGGGGATATTATACCTTATCCTCTCGTCCTCCCCAAAATCCCCTACTCCCGTCCCCTTGTCTTCCCCACCATTCCCCACTCCCTCATTCGAAGCATTCCCAAATGGTCTGATGTTCCCATCAGAAAATTGGGAACATCAAATGATCTGATGTTCCCATCACTGAAATATAAGAAAAGTTAAAAAAAACGAAATGGAAAACAATGAAAAAAAAAATAAACTATACTCATAAAATGAACAGTGTGGTAAACAACACAGCTCAGTTCCAACACAATCTCACAAAAAATAATTAAATCAAAACGTAAATCGAACTCTATGATAATTCAATTTGTCAATGCAATCGGAAACATTTAAATGGAACTGTAACATAATTAGAATAGTGTGTGTTGCTCGTACATGCAACAGATGGCGCTGTTTCTTAAATTTCTTAAAAAAAAAATTTACCTGTCACAGGTGTGGCATCAATACTTATACTTACGAAGTGAACAGTATGGTAAACAACACAGCTCAATTCCAACTCAGTGTTACACAATATAAATAAACCAAAATGAAAATAAGTTTAAATCTATGAAAATTCAATTTATCAATGCAATCAGAAACATTGAGATGGAATCGTAACATATTTAGGATAATGTGTGTTGCTATTACATGCAACAGATGGTGCTGTTTTTCGAAAAAGCACGTTTTTACCTGTCACAGGTGTGGCATCTTTATAGTAAGTATATTAAAACATGCACGTATTCAAATGGGGGTGTTGTATCCAAATTTCAAAGCAATAGGTGAGAAACTTTTGGAGATTACCGCATGTGTTGCTCTTACGTCCAACAGATGGCGTTGTTAAAAAAAAAAAAGTTTTTTCCTGTCACAGGTGAGGCTTGTATATAGTAGGTATATAAAAAACATGCGTCTATTCGAATGCAACGTTGTGTCAAAATTTCACAGCAGTCGGTAAAGAGGTTTTGAAGATTTCCCTCACATGAAAAACACAGTTTTTCAGAAAAAGCATGTTTTTATTCTGGTCACAGACGTGACATTTATATAGTATGTATATAAAAACCCGCTCGGATGCGAATGGAACGTTGTGTGAGAATTTCAAATATTGTGTTAAAGCAATCGGTGAACTTTCGGAAATTAGCGATTTTGAACAAACGAACTTTTCCAATTTTATTTAAATTGATGAAGACAAGCTCGTCTGTGAATGTTCCTGTTGTGATCAAGAGTATTCCTTTTAATTTACTCCAGGCCTTGTTATTGGCCTCAGCTGCCCCGGTATTAATAGCTGAGCCTTGGCTGGTTAGGAAGACTGGTCACATACTGTCAGTGAGCAATGTATTTCTGTGGAGACACATTAAGTGATTAGTGGAGACGTTTGCTTAGCTGCTCGTCACTCATGGCATTCCATTCAGTTGCTTCTAGCACAGACCGGAGGGCCGACCACTTCCCTTGTGCCATACCCGTTTTGTACGAGTTGATTCACTCTTATGTTGGCTTATCCTGACCCCCTTCCCAGTGCTATATAGTCGTAATGGCTTGGCGCTTTCTCCCTGATACTTGCCTTGTCACTCTGTTGATCTGCGGTTTTGCCAGTGTATTGAAGGCAGGCTGGTGGCCATATGAGCCAACACACGCCAAAGGCTTGCAATTACACATTCCAGCAGATAGGTTAATCGTGACGTGATCCATTCTCTTAACTAAGATGGCAACCCATCTTACGAATGTGTTTACAAGGCTGCATTTTAATGGACCTTTGACAGCAGGTCGTATGTACTTCTGCGGTTAACTCTCTCACCCCGCTCGCTGTTGTGTTATTGTATAAGGATTTTTAGGAAGTAAAATAAATGTTATTGAGATACTTTTATATACAGTTGATATTAGGTTAATATAATGTGAACACGTTGCTGGGGAGGATGTTCTCGTTCCTTGCTTTTATTGTGTCATTGGTGAGCATAGTTGTACAGGAGCTCTAGGTACAAGATGAACATTCTTGTGTCAATGGTGAGCATAGTTGTACAGGAGCTCTAGGTACAAGATGAACATTCTTGTGTCACTGGTGAGCATAGTTGTACAGGAGCTCAAGGTACAAGATGAACATTCTTGTGTCACTAGTGAGCATGGATATAGAGGAGCTCCAGGCACAGGACGAGCAGACTGAGAGCGAGGCCACAAGCCAACAGGAAGAACATTCCCTGTAAGAGAGAGTCATCAGCAACACCACAACATCCTGTTAACTCTTCTGTAGCTAAATGTATTCAACTGCTGAAAGTCATACATTCAGGAAGTAATTAATTAATTAGTTATATTACCCAGATATCTGTAACAGACAGTGAGGCTTTGACTACTATCTTGGTTGGCACGTGGTCACAGGTAGTGAAGTTTGGGATTGTAGTTTTTATCCATTGACTGATGATCCCGGACTCAAACATCATCATGATCCTGATGGGTGTAAGAAATATTGCAAACTGTCTGAATAATAAATTCAATTATATATTAAGGAAACCGTGTGTTATACATATAATATATAAACAACAAATCTATTATTTATTAACGACTTTTGTAAAATTGTCAGGCAAGAAGAGTTTTTTCGGATGTCCATGAAAATAATACAGATGGAACTAATTGCTTTTGGTCATTGAAGAGTTAATTAAAATCTTTTTAGGCAGAGGAAAATGGATACAAATCAGCAGAGGTAAGAGTTTATATTCCGTATTGAAGGAAGTAATTTTATGTGCTACCCAATCCCTGTATCCCTGTAATACAGGACTGGATTCCCAGTATTCTCACTGGGCTGTTGTGAAATGGGAGGTCTGTCTTGGTCATTCTGGTGATATGGCACACCTGAGTGTAAGCCAGCTGTTGATACCTTAATGTGAGTAATTGATATCTAATGCTTTGGCAATGTCTAATCTCCTATTGTCATTTTGTGTCAATTATTTTGGTGATGTTGGTCAGGAAATCTTTGGTGATGGTGTGGTTGTGTTGATATGGTGTGATCTTTGATGGAGCCTTGTTGTTTGTGCACTGTCAAGTGCCTGAAAAAAAAGATGCTGTTGCTTTGTCTACATTGAGACCGTTAGGGACGACAGTCCCCAACTCTCCATGTAAAGAATTTGATTGCAATCGTCTTATTCAGTTCCATTTAGATTTGAGAAAGTCTTCCATTATTAAATGATCAGTCTTCTCACACCTATAGTATATTGTGAGCTGTATCATGCGCTCAGTTTTGGTAGTCTTCACGTTTCTCACGACTATATCTTTCAGCACTCTTCCCTCAGTCTTGTAGGCACTTCATATAGAAGAGTTTAGTAGGCTGGACCGGGTCACAGGTATTGACAGGTCACAGGTGTCTAATTTCTATTTATGTCTTTACATTGTACTTAACATTGTAAGTTGTACTTTATGTACTTGAACTATTCATCATTGAATTTTGAATGACATTATCATGTCCTTTCTATTCCTTCTTTATTGCGGTGCAGTTAGGTTTATTTCCTTATGTGTCTCTTCACATAGGTTTTATATATAGCGTTCGATAGGCGGGTTTGATCAAGTTCTTGAAAACATCCTGGACGATTACCAGTTTGTCCTGCGTTATTCTGCCGACGTGTGGCTCTTATGTTAGATATTAGTTATGTGTTTTCTTCCAGATTGATATTTATCCTCTTTTTCATTACTTACTGTATTTGGGGTCTTCTCCAATTCTATTTTAATTCTAAAAAAATGCATTTTTTCGTTAAAGCTGAGTAGCAATTTTTCATAAATTGTGAAAACTGCCAAGGTGTTTTTGTGATGTATCAGTCCAACACTGTTCCGAATCTTTTTATTACTTTCGCATCGTCTACAGATATTCATATGTACTCTTCTCAGTACCTTTCTTCACTCTGATAAATATTGAATGTATATTGATATTTGATAAAAAAAAATATGTTTTTTAAAGTGTCCTTTAAGTGACCTAATCAATTTCTGTAGTACTTTGGAGACATCAAGCAGCAATACCAGGCTGTAGTGTAGGGTCTCCTGCACTAACCTAGTTGTGTGTACCTTGATGATGTGACACAGCTGACCCTCAACAATCGAGTCTCCCTTTTCGACCCATTTGTGGTGTAATATTTGCAGAAGAGATTCACTATTTGTAATTTCATTTTAACCTTAATTGTGGACTGTAACTGTATAATTATTTTTACAAATAAATCTACAAATTTGGGGAGTTATATTGTTAGTAGATTAGGAAAAACAAGTAATTTATTTAATTAAATATCAGTTTACTATTTCATTAATTTTAATTTATTTAAATAAACACCTGCTATACTTTTGGGATACCAAATAAATAGAAGGCTTTGCTGTTGATATAATCCTCATAGCTAGATTCGTCATCAAATAACGAGGTGGTCACGTGAACAATGGATACACCATTGTTCACTCTCTCTAGACTACCAATAACTTGTAATAGTCATACAACCGGTTTTATATTAAAATCACAGGAAGTTTGGAGGCCCCTAGTGAAGCTAGTCCAAGTTTTACGTATGACCCACAAGCACTCAGATGAAAGGGCAGAGTGGTGGCCTTTCACATTTTTTACCCCAAATTCGGAAACACACAGAAATCACATTAATGATATCATATATAATCATCCAATCCCACTCATATACATTACCAATTATGTGGTAATTGGTTCCACAAATCAACGAACCAGTATTTACCCAAGGCTTTCCTAAATCTAAACTTATCCAATTTATATCCATTGTTTCGTGTTCTGTCTTGTGTTGAAACTTTTAATTCCCTGTTAATATCCCCTTTGTTATGTCAATTCATCCACTTGTAAACCTCTATCATGTCACCCCTAACTCTTCGCCTTTCCAGTGAATGCTTTGTTAATCTTTTTTCATCTGAAAGATTTCTAATTTGGGGAATTAACTTTGTCATCCTATGCTGGACACGTTCAAGTGAATTTATATCCATTCCATAGTACGGCGACAAAAGCTGAACTGTTAGGCTCTTAATGGGGCCTAACCAGAGCAAGATATAGCTGAAGAACAACACCAGGTGTCTTGTTACTAACGCTTCGATTAATAAATCCCAGTGTCCTATTTGCCTTATTACGAACATTCATGCATTGACCTTTTGGTTCTAATTTTTTCTAATCATAACGCCCATATCCCTTTCGCAATCCGACTTCACAATCTCAACACCATCTAGTTCGTATCTTGTAAACGCCATCTAGTTTGTATCTTGTAACTATCATTATTACCTAGCCTCAAAACTTTACATTTATCAGCATTAAACTGCATATGCCAATCTCTTGACTATTTCAAAACCCTATTTAGATCAACTTGAAGTGACAGTGAGTCTTCTTCCGTGTTAATTTCCCTACTGATTTTTGTATTATCCGCAAATTTGCAAATGTTGCTACTCAATCCTGAATCTAAATCATTTATATATATTATTAACAAGAGAGATCCTAAGACACAGACTTGAGGCACTCCACATACAACATTTTCCCACTCTGACTTGACTCCATTTATACTAACTCTCTGTTTCCTTTGGTATAGCCATTTCCTAATCAAACATAATATAGCACCCCGAATACTATGAGCCTCTATCTTTTTACTCAGTCTTTTATGTGGCACTGTATCAAAAGCTTTGCTAAAGTCAAGCTACACAACATCACAATCCTTGCCACTATCAACTGCCTCAACTATGCTGGAATAAAAAGATAGCAAATTTGTTAAACATGAACAGCCATTTGTAAAACTAGGTTGCGACTCATTTATTAATTTATGTTTTTCAAGATGAAGACGAATTGTATTTGCAATTATCGAATCAAGAAACTTTCCCACAATGTGCAATTTCCAACGCATCTGCGTTGCTGAGCCACAGAAACCTTCCCTGTCACCCAGTCCTCCCCACCATTCCCCCCCCCCTTCACCTGTCTCCTCGTCCTCCCCACAATTACCCACTCCACCATCCCCTCTTCCATCTCACCATGCCCCACCCCCTGTCCTTTTGTCCTCCCACCATTCTCCATTCCGCAATCCCCTCGTCCCCACCATCCCAAACTCCCTCGACCTTCCCCACCATTACCCCCTCCCTTGTCCCCTCGTCCTCTGCACCATCTCTCACTTCCGTCCCCTAATCATCCCCAGCATTCCCCACTCCCTCATCCAATGCCTTCCCAAATGGTCTGATGTTCCCATCAGAAAATTGGGAACATCAAGCGATCTGATGTTCCCATCCCTGAAATATAAGAAAACAGTTAAAAAATGAAATGAAAATATGAAAAAAATTAAAATAAACTATAGTGACGAAATGAACGGTATAGTAAACAACGCAGCTCAGTTCCAACGCAATTCACACAAAATAATTAAATCAAAATGAAAATAAATCAAAATCTATAAAAATTAAATTTATCAATGCTATCAGAAACATTGAAATGGAATTGTAACATATCTAGTACATGATGTGTGTTGCTCATACATGCAACAGACAGCGCTGTTTTTCAAGAAAAAGCATAGTTTTACCTGTCACAGGTGTGGCATCTATACTTATACTTACGAAATGAACGGTATGGTAAACAACACAGCTCAATTCCAACACAGTGTCACACAAAATAATTCAATAAAAATAAAATAAATCAAAACCTATGAAAATAAAATTTATCAATGCAATTAGTAACACTGAAATCGAATTTGTGACATATTTGGTACAGCGTGCATGTTGCCATTATGTGTAACAGATGGCGCTTTTTTTCAAAAACGAATGCTTTTTCCCTGTCATAGGTGTGGCATCTACATAGTAGGTATATAAAACGACGCACCTATTCGAATGCAACGTTCTATCAAAATTTCAAATCAAATGGTGAAGAACTTTCGGAGATTACAGCGTGTGTTGCTCATACGTCCAACAGATGGCGCTGTTTTTTAAAAAAAGTATGTTTTTTTCCTCTCACAGGTGAGGCATGCATATAGTAGATATATAAAAAGACGCGCCTACTTGAATGCAACGTTGTGTCAAAATTTCAAAGCAATCGGTAAAGAGGTTTCGAAGATTTCCCTCACATGAAAAACACAGATTTTCAGAAAAAAAACTTTTTTTATCGTCACAGACGTGATATCTATATAGTCTGTATATAAAAACTTGCTCGGATGCGAATGGGACGATGTGTGAAAATATCAAACCAATCGGTGAAGAACTTTCGGAGATTAGCGATTTTGAACAAACGAACATTTCCATTTTTATTTATATAGATGGTGCACAGTGTCTCGCAAAGCTCCTCTTTGCATTCCTTTAGCACCCTGGCAAACACTTTATCCGACACTGGGGATTTGTTTGGTTTGACTTTTTCTATTTGTTTAATTACATCCTCCCTGGTAACTGCTAAACTAGTCAACCTGTCCTCATCCCCACCCACATAGACTTGTTCGACAGAAGGCATATTGTTAAGTTCCTTTATATATATATAGGAACTTTAATACAACGTTGGAACTTTAATACAATGTTCCTATATCAAAATATAGGAACAAAATTTTATTACACTATATATATATAAAATATATATATAATTTAATAAATAAATAGAAAAATGGAAATCGCAGTTACGTGATATATGAAATCACACCATTGTGATTTCATTAGGATCTGACTGGGGGGGGGAGGTAAGAAGGAAGGAAGGAATTATCAAGGGTAAGCGCCAAGCCATTACGACTATATAGCACTGTGAAAGGGTCAGGATAAAGATTTGGGATGGGACGGGGGGGAAAGAATGGTGCCCCAACCACTTGGACGGTCGGGGATTGAACGCCGATCTGCATGAAGCGAGACCGTCGCTCTATCCTATTTAGTATATACAGATATAAAATATTTAATAAAAATACTACTCATCTCTTTGTCATTATCCGTTATTTGACCTGTCACAATTTTTAATGGACCTATCTTTTTCCTAATCTTTGTTCGGTATAACTGAAAAAAACTTTAGGATTTGTCTTTGCTTGCCCTGCTATGCAAACTTCATAGTTTCTCTTTGTTTTCCTTATCTCATTTTTTAAATTTCAACCAGTTGTACGAATTCCTGTTCTAAACTGACTTTTCATTCTTAATTCATTTGTACCATGCTCTCTTTCTACCAATAAGGTTCTTCAGATCCTTTGTTATCCACTTTGGATCATTAGTATTCGATCTATTGAATTTAAATGGTATACTACGTTCCTGTGTTTTGCTTAGAATATTTTAAAATAAGTTATATTTTGAATCAACATCGAAATCCCCTTTTACGTCACCTATCGCTGGGTTCACGTCTCGCTCTAAGACTGGTCCACCCCTTATGCCCAATACTTTCCAAACTATTTGACCCCAAAAAATTCTTAGGCTATTGAAATCAGCTTTTCGAAAATCTGGCACTTTAACAGAATTTTCTCCTATAGATCTATTCCAGTCTATGCTAAATCTGATTTCTTAATAATCACTGTTCCCGAGCTCACTCCCTATTTCCATGTCATTAATTTGTGTTTCCCTGTTAGTTAACACTAAATCTAAAACATTATTTTCCCACGTTGGTTCCTTAATGTGTTGCGTAAGAAAACAATCGTCAGTTAATTCTAGAAAATCTTCTGCTTCATTATTCCCTGTTCTGTTAAAAAAATTATTCCATTAAAATTAAAGTCACCCATGACACAAATACTGCTAGCCCTAGATGCTTTATATATTTCGCCCCATAGGTGCTTTGCTTCCATCCTGTTTAAGTTTGGTGGCCTGTATATAACTCCTATTATAAGATTATTTACTTTTTCGTTTAATTCTATCCAAATAGTTTCTGTGTGTGGCTAAGTTTTGATTTCCTCTTGGAGACTACATTTCAAATTTTCCCTAACATATATATCTACTCCCCCCTCCTCATCTCATATATCTATCTGTGCAGGCGATGAGTCACACTAACGTGGCTAAATTATGTTGACCAGACCACATGTCAACTAAGACATGTGGTGAAGGTGCACTAGAAGGTGAAGGGACGACGACGTTTCGGTTCGTCCTGGACCATTCTCAATCGACTTGAGAATGGTCCAGGACGGACCGAAAAGTCGTCGTCCCTTCACCTTCTAGTGTGTGGTCTGGTCAATATCAATCTGTGCTTGTGGATCGTACAAAAACCTGGACTGGCTTCTGTAAGGGCCTCCAGACTTCCTGTTATTTAAGTAAAAATCCGGTTGCTTGTCTCTGTCAAGTCAGTTGTGGTCTAGTGGTAGAGTATGCGGCTGGCAATGCCATGGTCGAAGGATCGCGAACGCCTCATTGCCTAGTGGATTTTATCATTTGGGATAATATAAAATCAGCAAATAGCATCTAAGCTATGTTTAATAATTAACTGATGAAGAGAGTTAGTTTTACTAATTCATTTGTTAACTCTCTTTGTAGACGTGGCAAATACTACGACACGGATTTTAGAATCCCCTCGAGTTATCTACATTTGATATCCAGAATAATTGCTCGTAATTCTTCTGCTTTATAGTTATAAATAAATAGTAATTAGAGGTAATTAAAGGTAATACACCAACAGAAGACCAATCTTCATAGTTACTAAATTGTTTAAATTATATTCACGTTGGCGGGAAAAAAATTCCACACCATTAGTGGTTAAATGCAATGTCTACTGTCTCTTTTTGTTTTTTTATTGACATGTATAACCATATATTAAAAAAAAACTTAAATTATTTTTTTACCTTAAAACAAATACTATTTTACGACTCAAGCTAAAAAAAAAGGTTCTTTCCAGTATGTATTGCACTCATTTTTGTATCTAGTTACAATTAATATTTTCATGTTCCTCTGTTCCTCATTATGAATGTCAAAACTATATGTAATCAGAGCGAGGTATTACCTTCTGCTGAAGACAGGCACGAGAGAGTTGCCTCTGGAGCACGCTAAGGAGTACATAAGAGGCAGGAACTTCTCCCGCCCCAAGTAAAAGTCACACTGACCTGAAAGACAACACATATCAAATTGAGCAATGATTTTGCAACAATTATAGATAATCAAGAAAGGTTTTCTTCATTAGCTGACTGGTAAAATCTTTGCCAATGAACAAATTCACAAATTTTATTGTTACGTTCCTAGTTTAGTGGGTTTTTTCTCCAAACCTGCTCATTGCCATGAGTTTTGGCCTGTGTTCAGAACTGGTTTTCATCCCGACACCAAACAAAAACAATATAGTAAAACAGTTGCTGTATACTTGTCAATTTGATGCAGAAAAGCCACTTCACGTTAGTAAAGAAAACTTTTTCTTTACTAAAGAAATGTCTCATTTCTTATGTCACCAAAGTCGTACATAAAACTTATAATCGCTACATAAATCGATACTCGCAAATATCACAATCCTCTTCACAGGCAAAAGTAAAAAAAAAAACATTATCTTACCATGGTCTTAGTTGAAACTTCATTAGCCTCTTTTTAGTGGCTACTCATTGTGGATCAGCCGGAGGCTTGTAATCTCTACAGACTCTTTCTGGTTGGGACTGCTCCAGATTTCGACAGCTAATTCATTCCCATTGATTGATCATGGTTATAAGGCTACGTACATCTCCCCTTTATGAATGTTAGGCTTGCAGAGGACCCTCACGCCTTTAGCTGATCCTTTAGTTGTCAAAACATCTTTTGACCTTTACTAAAAGGTTGTGGAAAATTTCCCAACCAATTTACACATAATATTCTCTATAAATTTAATTGCATTCACACCAAGGAGTCTTTCGTTGTTGTGTTATTTTACGAAAGTGTATTCATAATCAAATCATAAAAAGTCACAGTTATAGTAAATTCTTCAGTTAATTTCCTAGAAATTTTACTGCAACATTATATGCCACGTCGACAAACGTTATTCCTTTGCTTTATTATTTTTACTGAATAAATTTACGTTTGTTAGCAAACAATTAGTGAATGTAGTCTGAGGGTTACTGAATGAAAAAATTTCTATTATAAATTAGATATAATGAGATCTTAGATGGATCTAAATAAATATCTACTCCTTCCCGAAACTAAATAAATAACTATATGTCTATGATTGCTACTCCCCGGGAAGGAGGACTGCTATCTTGACCAAGAAATTGAACAGATAAAGTGGCTGATATCACTAATGTTCCTTATATTATGAGTGTTCGTCGTGTGTTAAGCAGCCTCGATCATCCTCGTCAAGACCTGGGAAGGCTTTTGCTCTGGTTCAGATCGTATTTAATTACTGAACTCAATTTATTAGTACTTTACCTGTTCTGGTTATGGGGCATACCTATTAATATTAAAGGGTGAGCCCTCTCTTAGTGTTATAAGTGAATGGTGATTTAAACTTTATTTAATTCGTTCACATTGGAATTAAGCTTATGACATTTTAGGCAGTATTTATATTGTAACTAATCGAATACATCGAATACGATGCATTCGTATGGAAGAATATTGTAGTACGGACGAGAAGAATACGACTTGCTGGTCGTCTGATAGGAGAGACGTCATTGCCACGTGTTCACCACGTGTCTGGAAGTCACTACCATTATGAACATCCCATCATCAGAACACCTAAGTTGTCCTATATATTATTAATCTCAGGATAGAGCAAATGAAATAAATCTAACATAATTAAACAATATAATCAGATAACAAATATTATTTTGATAATTTAACTTGCTCTAGCCTAATCAACAAACAGATAGAAAGCCCCCAAGTTTGTGGGATACGTTTGTGAGGAGCTAACATCATACTGCTTAATAATTTAAATAAAATCATATATTCCAATTACTTGAATAGTTGATTCAAATTTATATATCATTTAAAATAAAATTGAATGAAATAAATATCCTCTGACAAGTTTACTTTCCCTAAAAACTTAGATAGTCTTTTGGTCTATGACCTAGAAAATTCTTATAGTAAATCGACTTGAGTATGGTCCAGGACGGACCGAAACGTCGTCGTCCCTTCATTTTCTAGTGTGTGGATTGGTCAACATTCTTATAGCACATTCAAATTAAATATACAATTATTTTAGCCAGTCGAAATAAGACATCTTATAAATAATTAAAACTTATAAGGCCTCTCTAAAATCTCAACCAAAAAATCTCAGAGGATGAGGCTAGTACTACTGAAATTTCACTCTATAATCTACCTGATGTTCAATACGATGCTAATACGCGAAATGAAACGCATAAGGCGAACGTTATAAAAAGTATCCGATTCACCAAGAACTCTATCAAGGCACAAGTGACCGCGAGGGATGGTCGGAAAGCAAGACACACACTCGTCCTGGAAGTCAGGACATTCAACAAAGAATTTGTTCCAAAATTCAGCCCAATCTTCCTTGTCTGCTCCTGAGAAAGTGGGTAAATTAATTGGAGGGAGTTTAGCTTCAGTCTGACTCGGATTAGATGAATCTGTTGATGTTTTGTTTTTTTCTGTGCAATTATTTTGATGAAAGGATCCAACCTGGCCTGAGTATCATCCTCATATTGAACTAGATCAGGCATAATATCATCTAGTTCTTTGATGTGCTTGATTTTGATTTGATTGATGATTTTGATTTGATTTGATTGATACTTTATCTTTTACTTGCTCATAAATTCTGAGCAAGTACTGATGGTAGTACCGTAGGTTTAAATTTTCAATCACTAGGCAAAAATTCTACCTCTTGTAGAGGTTGGTACATAAAATATTAAATTGAATATAAATACAAATGATTTGAGTGTTAATCAGTGTCACTATATGAATTACCTAAGGTTAGCTCATCTTAATCACCACTCAGAAGGATCAGATTTTTCTAAACACTCAAAGATGAAATAATTACAGTTAAATGTAAATGGATATAATATTGAACAATTTAAAATAAATATATGAACAATGAAACTCGTGTTGGTTTTGATCCCACCCTATTTATAGTCTCCACCTTTGTTTAAAAGGTTTCTAATCTGGACAATATTTACATCAACAATTGACATGTAATATAATACCCTATATAAGGGCTGGCACAAATAAAATAAATATAATTTTGTGCAGTAAAGGCAAAGTTTAATACACACAGAAATCACAATAGCGCGATGCATCAAATGAACAAACTCACAAGGGCCTTGGCGAGGATTCGAACCAACATCCAAGAGCATCCCAGACGCTGCCTTAATTGACTGAACTACGACATGGTATAAGAATTGCAATAAAAAATTCTACTGAATTTACTTGGATCATGCAGCCTCTCTGAAACACAAACCAGTGTTTTACACAATTCCCCCATGCACTCGAGCTATATCAATAGGACGTTCTACCTCTTCGTCCTTACTTCATTACACAGAGAATTAAATTTGTTTCTCGGAGAGGCTGCAGGATCCAAGTAAATTCAGTAGAATTTCTGGTTGCAATTCTTATACCATGTCGTTGCTCAGTCAATTAAGGCATCGTCTGGGATGCTCTTGGACGTCGGTTCGAATCCTCGTCATGGCCCTTGTGGATCTGTTCGGAAAGTTTAATATTTCATATGGTTTTTAAATTTTTATATTAAATGGTTCATTTATATGTATAGTTTTAATATTAGGAACCTCTCATCAACCTATGGTATTTAATTGGACTTTATTAATTAATTAGTGACCCTAACATGAAATTAACACCACACATTTATTGGTTAAACTTACGTGAAAGTACAGCCACAATTTTGTTTGATTTAGTCTGTGCACCAATTCCGCGGAAATAAAATACTACCTATTTCTGTGCCCAAAATCTACAAAAATGACATGTTAATTTTAGTCATGAATAGTTATGTTACATACTGTATAAGATTGAATTATTTATTTAGCTCCCTAATTACCTGAATTAAGGTTTGCAGCAATTATAGTGAAATTTTCAGTGACACTGCATGCACTGAGGTTGAAAATTAATGAGGTAGGTTACTGATGAATTAGCAGTCTGCTTCTACTGCTAATTATTTGTTAAATTATTTATAATTGATTTGCACTGATTATTTATAATTGATTTGCACTGATTATTTATAATTGATTTGCACTGATTATTAATGCAAGTGAGCTTAATCAAGATCTAGGTTCAAATGTCCAAAACATGGATCTGAGAACCAGTGTATTTCTAGATTTGATGAACCAAGTGATAATACTAGTTCATCTGGTTCGATGTAGACCAAAACATATGTGGAAAACTGACTCATGCGATTCTATTATTTTAATTTTTATTATTAATATATTTACTTAATTATTAATGATTTAATTATCATTAATTTACTTCTTAATATATATATTTCCATAGCAGACTGTATGATTCTAAAGTGGACTGTGTGATATTAAAGTGGACTGAATGATATTAAATTTTTCCACAAGTTGGCTTATTTTATTACATAGTTAAATGTAAATTAATCGATTGGTAAAAAAATCGCTAATAAAGGTTAGTGTACAATAATTAGTAAATTAATATACAGTTTATCTGTCATGTTGAATGCAGCCTGGTCAACCAGACATGGACACGAAAGATCAAGCAAACTGATTCTCCTCGAGGGTGAGGCTATAGCATCATCATCACGTACCAAGTAGTGCTGCTAATTTCTTCAGGTCGTCACACATTACTTGCCGGATTATTACACCGTAAACAAGGGAAAAACATCCTTATAACAGATATGACATGACAATGATTATGGTTAATTTAATATTTGACACTAAACCAATTTTGGGTGTTTGGCCCAGTTAATAACCAGGTTGAAATTAACTAATACTATCAGGCCTGCTAATATAGAGAATTAGTTCAAACAGAAAACAAAGTATGCCCAGTAATTGGCGAGGTCGCTGTGGCAGATTGACTGCAAGATGGCTCGGGTTTTAGAGTATTGACACCACTGCGTAGCGAGTGGCCTTACAGGAAGTCTATTCAATTACAATGGCCACATCTCCTTTTCGCATCAGCGTCCCGAGAATTCATTAAAATTTTCAGCCCTTTTATTTACAATGGGAGGGAGACCTTA